GGTCCTTCAATAATAGTGTGGGGGGGGGGTCACTGAAGTCCGTTCACCAGGGGGGATGGAGGTCAGAGGTCATCTCACCGTGTGTCGCCAGGCCCTGTGGTTTGTTGATCAGCACCAGATCCGGTTCCCGGTGTATCACCCAGCTCCGGAGTTGTGATAAGCTGGGGCCGGGTGATGGCGGCTGTGGAGAGATCAGAGAGGAGTGTGATTGGTCTGTGCTGCTAAATGACACCTGTGATCGGGGCTGATGAGCTCCGTAGTCGGTCACCTGACTCTTCCCCGCTAATCTCTTCTCAGTACGGAGCCGGTCCGCCAACCTCCGGGCCCCACGTGCTCCTCCGACCGCTGCCATCTTCCCCGGCGACCGCAGATGACGTCACACACGTCGCATCCTTGACGTCTGTCCCCCGCCTATAGCAAACGAGCAACTCCGTCCACTGATCGTTTACTGGGCGGGGCTAAGCCCCGCCTCCTGAGTGCGCTGGGATGTGGGAGGAGCTTTCTGAGCGCGTCCTGTGGGATATACAACCACAGAGTAGACTGACGTCAGAGGATGGTTTGATGTCATCAGTGTGACGTGGTTGGTCGGCTTTGACCGACACTGCTCTTATCACCCAATACTAGTTCCCCCTCAGGTCCACTCTGCTAGTGATTGACAGCAGGCTGGCCATTGGCTATAGAATCCGCCCACTGCTGTCAGTCACAAGGGAGGTGGACCTGATGGGGAACTAGTTGATGGATCAGGTGATATATATATTATAGGGGTCATGTCCCCTCCCCCGCTGTCGTCAGTTCCTCTTTATGGAGTTTATTAGTGTAATAATCGTGTCTCTGCAATCCGTGCAAAGTGGGAGGGTCTTCCTGCAGTCACATGACTAGTGCAAAGTGGGAGGGTCTTCCTGCAGTCACTTGAGTAGTGCAGAGTGGGAGGGTCTTCCTGCAGTCACATGAGTAGTGCAAAGTGGGAGGGTCTTCCTTCAGTCACATGATCAGTGCAGAGTGGGAGGGTCTTCCTGCAGTCACAGGAGTAGTGCAGAGTGGGAGGGTCTTCCTTCAGTCACATGAGTAGTGCAGAGTGGGAGGGTCTTCCTTCAGTCACATGAGTAGTGCAAAGTGGGAGGGTCTTCCTGCAGTCACATGAGTAGTGCAGAGTGGGAGGGTCTCCCTTCAGTCACAGGAGTAGTGCAAAGTGGGAGGGTCTTCCTTCAGTCACAGGAGTAGTGCAGAGTGGGAGGGTCTTCCTGCAGTCACAGGAGTAGTGCAGAGTGGGAGGGTCTTCCTGCAGTCACAGGAGTAGTGCAGAGTGGGAGGGTCTTCCTTCAGTCACATGAGTAGTGCAAAGTGGGAGGGTCTTCCTGCAGTCACAGGAGTAGTGCAAAGTGGGAGGGTCTTCCTTCAGTCACAGGAGTAGTGCAGAGTGGGAGGGTCTTCCTTCAGTCACATGATCAGTGCAGAGTGGGAGGGTCTTCCAGCAGTCACATGATCAGTGCAGAGTGGGAGGGTCTTCTTGCAATCACATGAGTAGTGCAGAGTGGGAGGATCTTCCTGCAGTCACATGATCAGTGCAGAGTGGGAGGGTCTTCCTTCAGTCACAGGAGTAGTGCAGAGTGGGAGGGTCTTCCTGCTGTCACATGATCAGTGCAGAGTGGGAGGGTCTTCTTGCAATCACATGAGCAGTGCAGAGTGGGAGGGTCTTCTTGCAATCACATGATCAGTGCAGAGTGGGAGGGTCTTCTTGCAATCACATGATCAGTGCAGAGTGGGAGGGTCTTGCTGCAGTCACATGATACATCCCATACTACAGACTGTGTGACCAATCCCGGCTGGCGGGAGGTTTGTCTCATGGAGGGAATGTTTTCTCGCAGGCTGCCTGTGACTGGACTTCAAGCTCTGTCTACACCTCAAGGAATGGCGGACAATCACACCTATTAACCCCTTGGGGACGGGAGACGTACTGCGTGACGAGTTATTTGCTGCACTAGAAGGCTGGTAACCAATGAGGATCAGTATAGAGGCGTCCAGTCATGAAAGGGTTAACCTTACTCAGACCCCCGATACCTGAATATGGGGTGTGAGAGAGTCAGGGGCACCCGGCACTCTGACAGAGATCTCCCTCCATGGTGTACCGCGTCACTGAATCCGGATCGGCGTCACTGAATCCCGAACGGCGGCCGGATCGGCGTCACTGAATCCCGAACGGCGGCCGGATCGGCGTCACTGAATCCCGAACGGCGGCCGGATCGGCGTCACTGAATCCCGAACGGCGGC